GGGGAGGTAGAGATGATTCTCCGCTCATTGCTTCCCCCCATCACCAACCCCTAAATATCCGTAAATATGCGGTGCCTAAATATCCGGTGCCTAAACTTCCTGTCGCTCTCTCTCTCTTCCCCCCCCTCCCCTTCTAATCGTGACGAAATAATGTACCTCATTCACCAATCGTAAACAAATTTTCTAAATTCCTCTTCTATATTTTTATTCTATTATTGCGTCACGATGAGAAGAGGAGAGAGAGAGAGAGAGAGAGAGAGAGAGACACACACACACAAAGCTTGGCGAATTACGAAGACAGATAGAAACTCAGGTGCCTCATCGGTCGGCAGGTCTTTTCATGTCCACTCCGCTATCCACTTTTTCTTCCCCGGTGCCTTGAGGGCTGAGTAGGGGAGGGAGGCGAGAAAAGGTAGAAACAATTCTCTGAGTGTGATGAGCGAGAGGAGGAGGTGGGGGTGGGCTGTGTCCGGAGTTAGTAGGGGGAGATAATGTTTGATTAATTTTAGTAAGGCTGGGACCTTAAAAAAATTAGAAAATTTTCTCCTATTAAAAAGGGGGAAAATAAATAAATTAAATAAAAGCTTTTGGCGTGATTGATAACTAATATGTGGGCGAAAGACGTTCCGTCACAGTGCATTATGTCACCATACAGATGAGTTAAACATTCCTATATCATTTTTTTTTGGAATATAAGTCAATTTAACCCCGCCTTCTCTATTAGAAATCAAATATATTTACCACAATTTTCGAGAAGGTATTGGTCCCTTACTTCTTTAGTGTCAGTACCACATACAATTTTTTTACACTTCAGAATGAAAAAAAAGTCCTCTCCTTTTAGTGGGAATGCGTGGAAAGGGGGGTGGCTGAGGGCATTACCTGCGTTACTTAGAGGTTTAAACAAGACCAATTGTTGTTATCGCTATAACAATAGGCAATAAGTCTCGGTTTTTTGTATATGTTAATAATAATATCTCTTTTTATATTAATTTAAAATGAACTTGGAAGATCTAATTGTGTGAGTGTGTGTGTTAAAAATTTCTATATCAATGTTTTGGGAAAATTGATCTTTTATAAATACTTATTCTGCTGTAGAGTTTTTATTATGAGTTTTACCTGGGCAGCTCTTAGTTCTCAGAATCAGGCTCCCTTACACAGGCGACTACCTTAAAAGAAATGAGGTTCATGTGCCGATCATCAACATCAACACCTTTATCCCAGTCCCCTTTAAAAAATACGATTTCCCCCCTCCCTTTTCCAGGAGCACATCTTAAGGATTAAAGTAAATGGGGAGAGGGCGATATTTATCACCAACACTCCCCGACATTATATATACTAAATATTTTATAATTTTATTATTTAATCTAAAGTATTTACATTAGTTACTAAATATGTACACAAATTGAGTAATTATTAATTTCAAAAACCTAACCCGTTTTTTCAGCATTTCTTGTATATCATGATACATCAGTAAGAATCGTTCTAGTTGCTATTGTTTGATCACGTTACTGATAGCCCAGAGCCTAAGGAGAAAATAGACGTTGAAACATTTTAATTACGTTCAAAATTAAGGTTGCTATTAAAGAGTGCCTAAATTTCCGGGTTCCTAAATATCCGGTGCCTAAATTTCCAGACACCAGGACACTGGCATATGCTTGATCAGGCCTTGGCAGCCTCCACCACTCGGAAGTGTGGTCAAGGCGCTTTATTTGCTTTCAGACTCCGGAGTTTTAGCGATTTGTCCTAGCACTCTAATCACTTTTCCATTTCTATTTTTCTGGATTGTTGGTAGGTAGTGTTTTCCTCCCTGTTTGGCAAAAGAGTCAGCAATCATTTATGTTGTGTGAAGCCATGATTACAGTATCTTTATTGAAAGCCCATGTCCAGAGCTTTGCAAAGTTTTTGGACAGGTTCTGAGTCAGCGACCACAACAATCTGTCTTGCCTTTGAATGTTTGATTCATATTTCTTATCGCAATCTGCCTCCCTAACGCCTATATTGGCGTCAATATAATACAAAGTTTTGATAGAAAGCTTGATGCTTTTCGCAATTAGTCATCGTCAGGTTGCGAATCTGTCGAAAACTGTTCTTAGAGAGCGTCTAGGAGGTAGAAGGAACCTGTGAATTAAATTTCACGCGGATCCGTGTGACGGTATAAGAGATCTCTTGATCCATGAGTCAGTGGTATATTTTAGCGTATATATTGTAATAAACCTGGTGTGACCCAGATTGGGGTAGTGGTGTGTGTAGACAGCCGTCGCAAATCGACAGAGCCATTTTTAAGAACCGTTTCAAAAAAAACAATGTTTGTTTGTTGTTGTTTTTTAACTGATAAAGAATTAGCAAGCTGAATAGAAGAATTATAAAAATAATATTGCGATTACTGCCGATATGAAAAGCTTGTATATATAAAGATTACTTGTAGCTTAACAGATGGTCGAGATTAATATATTTCTACGGGTCCATAAATATCTTGTCCACCGAGCTTAACCCTAAATCGAAACCTCTCGCCAACTCCAAAACTACACCGGTTTCCCACGGTGCTCACTGACACATCACATAAACCAGAATACCAATTGTTAGGTCTTAATTATTCACCTCTCGGACTGAAATGTAGTACAATAGAGACAGATCTACTGCAATACGACGACAGTAGATGGACGATCCACCCACCCATTTCCTTTCCAGGTGGGAGACACTCGACCGTACGAAAAGATTCTTTGTTACTGCACAAAAGATGCACTTGTCTGGTTCCGTGAGCAGGGGATAGGGAGGCATTTACAAACATACTAATTCTACCCTGACAGCTGACATCATCCTGTACATAGATAAATGTGGAAAAAGAAATTTTCAGACATAAACTTTTTTGTCCACTAGTATACAAAAAGTAAAATTAACTAGGTCGAAACTATAAACAAGCATAATATTTTTTAAATACTTAAAAAAAAGAAAGCTTTTAATAAAGAAAACAGCTATACATTCATAGCCATATCTATCAATACAATAAGATTTATTTCTCTTAACTAATATCAAACTAAATTAATTAATTACCAATAATTAATTGACTACCGGTACTTGGATAGTTGCAGTTTTATTTGATTCATGTTTAGTTAGCAACAAAAAATAATTATGTAAAGTTTCAACGTGATCCGAGAATTAGAACATGGAGAAATAACGTGTTCTTGATTCGGCAAAGACCTACAGAGACCTTTTAACTACAATTCTTAAGCAAGAAGTCTCACCTGAAGAATTGAAACTCGTGAGGTTTCCAAAGACACATAATACTATCAACATAGAATGCAGCACCAAAGAAAAATAGGATGGCCTGCAAACTACTAAAGATCATTGAGTGCTTTCACGAGGAGACAAAATGTACAGTAAAATTTAATAGAATCCAATCAGCACCTTTTGAGGTCAGCAGTGATGTCAAGCAGGGATATTCTTCACCTGCCTACTGCATTATGCTTACAGGCTACAGCGTCTTCAACGAAGGTGTATTTCTCCGTTCAAGATCCTCTGGAAAACTCTTTAATGTTTCCAGATGGAGGGCAACAATTCAAAGCTAGGAAGGTACTAAGTAGGGAATGCCTCTACGCCGATGATGCAGCTATTATTACTAAATCTTATTCTCAGCTTCAGACCCTGGTTGACAAACTATCTGCTGCATCCCTGAAGTTTAGCTTAAATAATAGCCAAAGCAAGACCAAAATACAAGCACTCATATGGCCAACAACTGGAAATTGTTGACCATTCTTAGCATATTTTTCAACTGAAATTGTGAAAATTAGGGAAAACTTAAATTAGTGATGCTCAACCTTATTCGGCCGGCGGGCCATTTTAAATTCCGACTATGGTGTCGCGGGCCACATCAGCAAGAAAGAAAAATAAGGCAGGGAGGATATAAGTAAACCATTTTTATATTTTATGTTCGTAAATATTCTCACCAATCCTCGACTCTAGGTTTAATCTAACTATTGCGTGTCAATTAAGGATATTGTCATATTTATTTCTGTGTTTGGTTTCATAAAGCTGCTAAATGTATGTTCTTTGAAAATGATAGACTATCTTTACAAAACAAATATGTTGGCTTATTATTGGTACAGATCAAGTTACCCTAACGTAGGATAAGATTTCTTTTTCAAATTTCTTTTTGTTTTTTTGTGTATATATATATTGATGGCCTTTCGCCTGAGTTCTTTGATTTTGTTATTTGAGAGTTACCTCCATTTGATTTATAAACATATAAGACACTAACCCAAAACATAAATAAAAAAAATTAACCAATTAGTTAATTAAGTATTGGTAATTAATTATTTTCTTTGGTATATTGAACAAATGAGAGAAAACGTATTTGACAGGTATGGTGGGGAATAAGTTGAATGAGTCATTTTGTTATGCATTTAAAAAACGATCATGTCAACATTCACCAAGATACCCTCTTCTTCCCTCCTCTTTTCACAACTGGTCCAGACAAGTGAAATGGATCATAGCGCGCGAGCACGCTACTCTGCCCCAACGTGGCGCTCGTGTGGAAACGACCATTACAGGAAGTGGTTAGGCTAAATGAGTAGCAAAACAAAACTCCCGTGGGGGTGACCACGGATTGGCGAGAGCTTGCCCATTACACGAAGCAGAATTGAAAGAGTCCTCACGACCCTGTCGATAATCCATACGCCGTTCCTCAAGGGACCGTTCACACGGTAAGCTTGGTACAACATAGGAAAATGGGGAGGTTCCCGGTTCACTAGGCATTTGGCCATGTCTAGCCGATGCGTCGGGGGCCAGATGCATCGGAAATAGCAATGCTTTGCAAATGCATTGACTTGGGTCTCTTCCAGACAGAACTGTGTGTTCACACAGGTTGTTTTTTTTTTACTCTTTGACGTTCAAACAGTTTTTTTTTTCAAACTTAGAGCTCGAAGAGCCTTCGGCTCAGCTCCTGGACGATCTAACGAATCATAGCGCACTGAGAAAGCTAAAAGATAATTAAAAACAATTGGTTATAATATTTCTAATCGCACAGATTTATTATGTCTAGGTCAATCATACATATAATCACATGAATGATCCAAACACATTGATACAATGACACTTAATACAAGCTTGTTTTGTTTTTTTAAAGTATTTTTGTGTTTTTGTGTCTTCCATTGTTTGTGAAGCTGTGATGACAGGTTCTAGAAAATGTTTAACGTAACACACTTTATGAACATCTAAACACCATTGCAGTCTACAAAGCAAATATAGGCAGGCATACAGGGCACAGGCTACTATGTAGAATTATTGAATACATCTGCACGTACATTCAAAGATACATTGTATATAACACCGTACTTTCTTATAGTAACTTCAACAAGACTGAGAATACACGGCCAAGGTATGATGTATCAGTGATACTTATTGTAACTTCAACGAGACTGAGAATACACGGCCTAGTTATGATGTATCAGTGATACTTGTAATAACTTCAAGAAGACTGAGAATACACGGCCAAGGTTTGATGTATCAGTGATAATAGTCTTAGATTTTGGTTGAGTCAAAGTTCGCTAGAAGCGCGTATTTGTATTATAACTACAATATAATATAAACACTATAGTAGCATTGTACAATGTAGCAACGGGTGAACAATAGCTCTGTATATAAATCACATGAAATGTAAATAATAAATAGGAACCACTACATTGACAATTGATCTATGCACAATGGACTATGGATAACATTATACGAAAATTTATAATACAATATAGTATCACTTACAAGCTTTGATTACTTTAAAATGAAATTAATTACACTAAGTACTATTATAATTATAAACATCAAATACAAAATTACTTATTAAAACATGAGCAACATCCCCACTTGGATGATTTTTTAAAACATATGACATTATCTCCCTTAGACTATACCATGTAGCTTTATGAAGTACATTTCTTCAGATTCAGCTAGCTGCGGTTTGAGTTGTCATTCTCTACCATGATCGGGCTTCATTAAATGAAAACATAATTGTTATTATAGCCTCCCTTTGTCGTAGCACATTAAGAAAATTGAACCAACAGTAGTTTACAGAAGTTAGCAAAAAGAAAATTGAGACTATATTTATATCCACAGTTTAACTACACTCTCTCATTTCTCTCGAAGCAACACTGACAGAGTTTCGTAACCTAACACATTAAAACATATGAAATATTTCAATAATTATGAACTGCTTTAACATTCAAGCTTAATAATATTATATTTCATATTTTATACCTTTAATCCCTTCGAGCTTCTTAATTTGCAAAGCTGTAACCAAAAACAAAATCGATTTTAAGTTAATTTTCAGACAGATGACACTTTGTGACCATCCTACACACTCACTCTTCTGTTGTTCTACTTCTTCCGTTCCACAAAACTTGAAACAATGAAACTGTATTGTAATAAATAATAATTGCAGATGTTTGAAACTTCATGCAAACTTTTCTACATTTATCTCAAATGTAAAGGACGAAGGCCTAACAGAGTGTGTGCCAACGTCAACACTTTCAATAGCAGCGTCTGTGACTAGCGTCTCTTCATTGGTACCCAAGAAAACAAAACCTGGCAGCTAATGACTTCCGAAAAGTCAAAACTATTCCAAAAACAAAAGGATAGATATTTGAGATCCAGCGGAACGCTACCACCCAAGGGAGATCGCGTACGGAAAAAAAGAAGAGAACTCGACTTCCTGCAGACACTGTCTGGAAGGTCAGAGCTGGATCTGCGTGACAACTGTAGAAAATGCTTAATCCTAGAAATAATTGTTAGGCTTTCATTAAAAGTGGTCGACTTTTAAGGAAGAAAAGAAACCGACATGAATTCTAAAATCAATAACTAATTAAAACCAACAATAAAATTGACAGTGATACATGAAAAAAAAAACAACAATTAACCTATAATACTAAGTTAGCCTTAAACAGATGCTTTAAAAAAATAGTGTATTAGTTTTGCATACAACGGACTGTGGGTGAAAGGGGAGAATACTACTCCATTTCTCATACAATTGTTTTATTTTTTTGACTTTATACTTATGACAATTACGTTTAAACAAGTTCTACATTAATTATGATGTAGTTATGCTAATACCTGATAAGTCATTTATTTTCTAGACTGATTGATGCAACTCTTAATTGGTACGTATAAAATAGAGTTCCCTTCTATACATGTACAAAGATGTAGGCACATCCTTCCATGAGTGAAATGATTTATTATGATTAGTTAATATAGCTCAATTTTCAAGGTGATAATTTTTTAAATTATTTTTTTTTCAAATTTCAATTTAACTAGATCTAGTGTTTAATAATCAAATGTAATAAATGTCTTTAAAAAATGAGATTTTAGGATACCAACAGGATTACAAAAAAGGGTATTATTTAAAACATTAGAATCTGATGTAAAATACGAATCATTTCTAAAATTATAATACTAATCTTGCTTCAAACCAATTAATCCATAACGTAGATATTTATATGAGCGTTTTAATATTATATGTTTCATTCTCCATTCAAATTTTTGGTTAAGTCGAGGCCCAGATCATGACTTTGTATCTTCCGAAGACTTCCACCTGCAGACCAAGACAGGCACGTTGGAGTGGTGGACAATGTAGTCGCTGACGCTTCCTAGAATTGTCCTCCTGAACTTGCCCAGACCGCGGGTGCCCGTGATGATAAGAGTTGCCCTTTCATCTCTAGCAACGCTGACAATTTTTTCTCCAGGTTTTCCCGATGCGGTACGAAATTTCCCAGATATCTGGCAAGAGAGGAAAAAAATATAAATAGTTTATCTAAAAACTACAAGTTGTGACTAACCAATGTGGGAAGTGGGGGTGTTACCTAAACACACTGACACGATATTTCATTCCATAGAGAGATAAACTGTACAATTAACCAAATGTTTTGGTACGAGGAAGAGGGGACGAACCAGAAATACATGGCGCCGAGATTTGGAAGGATACGTCAAGTAGTTGGTTGGGACATGTAAACAGAGAGACGCTTGGAGGAAGTTGATTTTTGGCCTAGGACGTTATTAGCGATGACGTTTCGGCTCTAAATGTGTTACATACATCATGGGCGTAGCCAGGGGGGGGGGTTGGATTCACCCCCCCCCCTCTTATGAAATCGGAATTTAGTGACTGATTTTTTACTTTTATTTATTTTTTTTTTAGGTGAGATTTTAATACTAAACCATCACTTGCCTAAGCACAGCCAAGGGTTTTTGAGTTTAAAACCTCTTACTAGGGGTTTTGAGTTTAAAATCCCTACCAGGGGGGTTTTGAGTTTAAAACCCCTACGAGGGGGGTTTATTCAAGAGGCGTTGTGAGGTTGGTGTCACCCAGTGGTGATGGAGCAGAGGCGTTGTGAGGTTGGGGTCACCCAGTGAGGGGGAAGCAGAGGCGTTGTGAGGTTGGTGTCACCCAGTGGTGTAGGAGCAGAGGCGTTGTGAGGTTGGTGTCACCCAGTGAGGGGGAGCAGAGGCGTTGTGAGGTTGGTGTCACCCAGTGGTGTAGGAGCAGAGGCGTTGTGAGGTTGGTGTCACCCAGTGAGGGGGAGCAGAGGCGTTGTGAGGTTGGTGTCACTCAGTGGTGTAGGAGCAGAGGCGTTGTGAGGTTTGTGTCACTCAGTGATGGGGAAGCAGAGGCGTTGTGAGGTTGGTGTCACACAGTGGTGTAGGAGCAGAGGCGTTGTAAGGTTGGTGTCGCCCAGTAGTGTAGGAGCAGAGGCGTTGTGAGGTTGGTGTCGCCCAGTAGTGTAGGAGCAGAGGCGTTGTGGGGTTGTTGTCACCCAGTGGAGTCAGCTAACAATGTCGCTTTCAAGCCTGAATCATCCCTACCCAAATTCTATTCATAATAAATCTATCTTCATAATTAAATTTTTCTATGCTTTGCAATCAAGCTCCAAAAATTGTTAAAAATATGGGAACGTTCGGTCAGTTGAAATATAAGAAGTCTTTGCAGATAGTTTCAGCAAGAGAAGGATCACGGAACAGATAGACAACTTAAACACAATAGCGGTTCTCTGTGTGTTCCTGCGTGCACTTCAGAGAATCAACAAACTAATTACTAAGGAAATAATCAAAACACATCATGAGAACGATGTGAGGTCCATCTACACTCGAAAGATAGGCTCGCTTACGGGGCTAGTTGATAAATAGTTCAGAGTCAGTCATCTTATCACAATAATTACATCATAAATAATTTACTATGAGCAATCGTCAAATTGACGTCTGAAGACAAAAACATCGCGGTTGTCTCGCTTGGATTTCATGTTATGAATTATGCGGCCTCAGAACGAGGCATCTGGAGGTCACTCACGAAGGCCGCGGAATACACATTTGAGATTAAAAGAAAATCTGCTGCCGAGGACAAACGCAGACGGCGAATAGAAAATCTAAATCTACCGCCTGCGGACAATAGTTATGCTTGCCATGGATGTGGCGAAATATGTAGGTCACAGCTGGGACTGCGCAGCCACGGGAAATACTGCATTCCTCACTAATCTTCGGACTCGTAAACTAGCCTTATTATTATTATTATGGTAGTAAAAAAATGTTCTCAGCTATGAGTAGATCTAAAAGGAATCTTCTAGAATATAAAGGGCAAGACAATGTAGGGAGTTGGATGTTTGTAAGTGTGACGAGATGTTTGAATGATTATTGTTGGCGCGTTTGTTAAAGTCTAGGGGAAATTTAATTTATTTATCTCGCTCACATACAAGATGTATAACCGGCACACCGCAACTAACAGTTAGAACAGACCTGTGTATTTAATTTATAAATTAAAATGATTTAATGAAAATAAGTTTACAGAAGATAACTGATGAAAAAAAATATAATCGAGAAATGAAATAGATGAATGAATGTATCAAATAATTTCCATCGTTGATTGCTTATTAATGAGTGAACGAGAGAGTGCTCCTATGTCTTGTCTATTTATTTTCTTAGCTGCTAGCCCGTTGGGTCTTCTTCTGGTGGTCGTAGGACTGACACTTAGAAGGATGAATTATCCGGCCCTGTCTTATGACGTAGGTTCGGGATGTCTCCTATTCTGTAGTCAATCTGGCACTAGGGCTATGCCACTGCCTGTTTAGCAGTAGAGAGGGTTGGTGCTGCCAACTAAGTTTGTAGTAGTTATTGTAGAATGATCTCTCAGCTATGGTTTCTAGCTCGTAGATGGCAATGCAAACTCACACCAGTTTATTTTCTGTAGCGTAGGTTGCTCTAAGCCCTAAGCAGTCGGCAGTGGGCAGTAGCTATTGGGCAGTGGACAGCTTGGGCCGGATACTGGGCAGATGATACTGGGCAGTAAGCACTGTGGACACTGGGCAATATTCTATGGGCACTAGACAGCAGGCAATGCCTTTTCGCTGACAGGTGTGTAATGAGGCGTGACCTTCATATCGAAGGCGCCGAATGAGGGGGGTATCTGGTGTGGTCGGCTCAGGTCACAGCGTGGCATGGAGATCTCGCAGATGTTGGCAACTGCGGGTCTACGTTGA